GTTAGAATGAATTGTTGTATCTACATTTGCTGGCAGTTAGACTGAATTGTTGTATCTACATTTGCTGGCAGTTAGACTGAATTGTTGTATCTACATTTGCTGGCTGTTAGAATGAATTGTTGTATCTACATTTGCTGGCAGTTAGATTGAATTGTTGTATTTCCATTTGCTGGAAGTTAGACTGAATTGTTGTATCTACATTTGCTGGCTGTTAGATTGAATTGTTGTATCTACATTTGCTGGCAGTTAGACTGAATTGTTGTATCTACATTTGCTAGCAGTTTGACTGAATTGTTGTATCTACATTTGCTGGAAGTTAGACTGAATTGTTGTATCTACATTTGCTGGCAGTTAGACTGAATTGTTGTATCTACATTTGCTGGCAGTTAGACTGAATTGTTGTATCTATATTTGCTGGCAGTTAGACTGAATTGTTGTATCTACATTTGCTGGCTGTTAGATTTTTATATTTCATCTATGTATAATGGCCATTAGATTGAAATCTTTTATCTATGTTTATTGACCATTAGATTTAAGTGTTATGTCTATGTTTATTCACCATTAGATTTAATTGTTATGTCTATGTTTATTGACTATTAGGTGTAATTGTTATGTCTATACTTACTAACTATTAAACTCATTTCTGGTTTAGTTTAGTGACTATTAAATTTAATTGTTTTATGTATGTCTCATATTTCATTCTTGTATCTGTTTAGTAAATATTAGATTTAATTATTTTATATATTTCTTAGATTTCATTCTGGTATCTGTTTAGTAAATATTAGATTTAATTATTTTATATATTTCTTAGATTTCATTCTGGTATCTATGTTTAGTAACTACTAGATTTAATCATATCATATATGTGTCTTACATTCCATTCTTGTATCTGTTTAGTAACTATTAGATTTAATTATTTTATATATGTCTTATATCTGTTTAGTGACCTTTAGATTTGGTGTTTGCATCTGTCTTTGCTCTTTGTTATATTATTACTGCATCTATGTTTATTTATCAACATATTTTGTTCGAATATGTATCTAGTAGCTAATAGGTTCAAATTTTGTATTTACGTTCAGTTGTTGTTAGTCTCAGTTCTTATATTTATGTTTGCTGGATATTTTAAAGAGTATTTGTGTTAGTTATGAATTATTGTAGTTTTATTGTTATGTTGTACTTTCAGTAGTACAAAAATGTAGTTGAGAGCTTATTGTAAAGAAGTATTTGGTTAAGATTGTTCTTTATTTAATGTTAACATGGAAACTGATTAAGGCAACTTTTGCGTCTATTTCCACTCACTTTGAGATATATCTGCTATCCCACAGGTTAAGCCTAATATATAAAACGAATGAATGGTATTACTTTGACTGAATATAAATAATAATACGTAAATATTTTTTTATCTTTACTACACACAAACACTTGTACATATACATGTTTTCCTAGACACACAGTTTACTAAGTAGTATAGCGTTGTTCATGAAAGAGTGTTTAGGCTTTGGTAGTGTTTTCCTTAATACGTTTGTAACTTCAGATTTGATAAAGATCTGCGCTGTAGTGTTTGTTACTAGTTAATGAACCTAAATTATTGTTAGTTTCATAGAATATGTTTTCTTAAACTTTAACTTTTTGCTTAACCCTTGAAAATAACATATTTCTACAAACATAAGTTTCAATTCATTTGAAAGTTGAAAGACCCTTTAAGTAACTTATTCAAAGATGAAAAAAATGTTGGTTTCTAGGTCGTCAAAATAAATCTGGACTGAAAAATAGTATCAGAAAAAGCCGCTCCTGTGACAGCAGTCCAAGGGAAAGTTGGACTTCAAGAGGACATCAGAACAGAGCTTCATGGAATTCAATGAAAGAGAGTAATCAAACAGGGAACTATTCTCTTTCTTCACCTCGAAGATCAACATCAGGTGTAAAAGAGTTCAGTGAAGAGCATCAGAAAACCTGTAATATTTCTCCTTTACACAGAAAATCTTCTTATATAAATAGTCACGTTATCGGACAAGACACTTGTGCAACCTACAATAACACGTCAACCTTACCAAAGACATCTTCTAGCAGAACAGTTGGACAAGACCAAGAGCCATTTTCGAGTAATGCCCTTTACCTGCTTAAAGACTCAGATAATACGGACAGAGTAGGGAATCCACAAGATCAATGTAATGTTGTTCCCCCTCCTCTACCTGTCAAAACGTCTTCAAGCTTTGAGAAAGTAGAAGCCAATCCAAAGACATCTTTGGATAACGTACCCTCTTTACCTAGAAGATCTCTGATTAGCAAACATTGTCAACAACAACAACACTTAAACTCTACAAATATTTCTTCTTTACAAAGAGAATCATTTATGAACGTAAACAAAAAAGCCACTCAAGAGGAACAACAAACAATTTATTTAAACTTTAATGAGTCATCTTCTGACAGCATAAAGGCAAAATACGATAAAACTTCTGTCAAAGTCCAAACGAATGACCTGATCAACAAAAATGAGCAGATGAAGAACGGTACCGATACAAAGATAAATGGATTTGAAAATTTCAGTAAAAATGAATCAGGAAAAACATCGCCTATCTTGGAAATTTCATCTGAAAACTGTCATGACCAGAAAAATCCTCCCAAAGTTTCAAAGATGTCGGAGAGGTATGTATATTTTTAATAATCTTGTGGCATAAGTTTAGGTATGGAGTTTGTAATTAAGTACAAAGCTACACAATGGGCTATCTGTGCTCTGTCCACCATGGGTATCGAAACCCGGATTTTAAAGTTTAAGTCCGCAGACATACCGCTGCATACATTTGTCCTCCATCTGCCATGTCCCTCGGTGAGACAGCGGTAAGTTACGGACTTACAACGCTAAAATCCGGGGTTCAATTCTCTGTGGTGGACACAGCAGATGGCTCATTGTGGCTTTACTCTAAAACAAACAAATAAATTATCCAGCACAAACCGTCAGTTTGTAACTGTCACTGTCTTGTCGAAGTTTAAGTTTGTAACATAATTTTCGGATACCCTGTAGGAAAAACAAAACAAAAGAGGAGAATGGCCCGGAATGGCCAGGTGGTTAGGACGCTTGACTCGCAATCTGAAGGTCACGGGCTCAAATCCTCGTCCCACTTAAACATGCTCGTCCTTTTAGCCGTAAGGGCGTTAGAATGTGATAATCAATTCCACTATTCGTTGGTAAAGAGTAACCCAAGAGTTGGTGGTGATGACTAGCTGCCTTCTCTCTAGTATTTCACTGCTAAATTATAGACGGTTAGCGCAGATAGCCCTCGTGTAGCTTTGCGCGAAATTCAAAAACCAAATAATTTGCGTACAAGGGTTAGCTGTGAAACGTTAGTACATTGTTTGGTGCCTTAACTCGCTGTTATTTTTTTGACCAGTTAATAGTTTGTACTTATTTCTACACTATTCACCAGAGATATTTCCTGACCGAGTTTTTTCCTTTTTTTTTCACTGGGTTAACATTTGTTTACATAGATTTAAAGAAAGCTATTTTCTTCAAAGTTTTGATGACATAAAAAATATAGGTTTTGTTTGTAATTAAGCACAAAGCTACACAGTGGGCTATCTGTGCTCTGCCCACCAAGGGTATCGAAACCCGGATTCTAGCGTTGTAAGTCCGTAGACATACCGCTGTGCCACTGGGGGGCAATATAGGTTTTAATTAGATTTTTGTTGTCGGTCAGCCTGTTACTAAAGTAATGCTTGGAGGTAAATATACCTTGAAACAAAAACGATGTCAAAAGACATTATTTTGCTGTAAAAATATCATTCTAAGAAGGATTTTGTAAACAAAAAATTATTAAGTTATTCTCACTGGAAACCCGCTAGAAACCGGGTTTCAATAACCATGGTGAGAAGAACACAGATAGCCCATTGTATAGCTTTGCGCTAAACCACAAACAAACACTAGAAACCCGCAGTTAGTGCCAATAAAGTTAGATTGTTTATTTTTGTTAAGCACAAGGTTACACAGTGGGTTATGCTGTACCCACCACGAGTATCGAAACCTGATTTTAGGGACGGCCAGTAAAGAAAGATGTGTTAAAGCCTTACTACTGATTAACAAAAACATTTTTATTTACCATTGTCAGTCGTTTCCTTTTCCCGACAAAACACCGAAACTGCGACTTGTTGATATCTGTAACCTACCTTCTTATTTAATCAAATAACACCTGCCATACGTCACACTCTAGCGTCACAAACACTAGCAGGTGACGTATGTTTATACTCTAATAAACACAGAATTCTACTGTTGGTATTAAAACAATAATTATTGTTATTGGTTCATTTTTTTGTTAATTAAATGTTCATATATATATACATATATTGCAGAAGCCCCCTAGCGTCAACCTTGACAAAAGAAAATAAGTCTACCATCTGCTCCAGCTGTCCCGGAATCTCATCGGTAAGCCGTTATTATTAGGGTAGGGCTATGATGTGTAGGATGTGTGGTATTTTTTTCCGCGTTTTATTTCCCAAATTAACTGCAACGAACATGCAGGAATCCCCTGAAGCATGTTTATGTGGTCGGATCGTAGGTTGAAATTTCGTATCCCCAATCCCCTCCTTTAAATTACTATTTAGGAATAATGGAAATAGAAGTGTTGTTGGCTGTTGGTTCGTTCAAGTGGAGGTGAATTGTAATATTGTTGGCTGTTGGTTCGTTCAAGTGGAGGTGAATTGTAATATTGTTGGCTGTTGGTTCGTTCAAGTGGAGGTGAATGGTAGTATTGTTGGCTGTTGGTTCGTTCAAATGGAGGTGAATAGTAGTATTGTTGGCTGTTGGTCCGTTCAAGTGGAGGTATATAGTAGTATTGTTGATTGCTGGTTTGTTCAAGTGGAGGTGAATAGTAGTATTGTTGGCTGTTGGTCCGTTCATGTGGAGGTATATAGTAGTACTGTTGACTGCTGGTCCGTTCAAGTGGAGGTGAATAGTAGTATTGCTGGCTGTTGGTTCGTTCAAGTGGAGGTGAATAGTAGTATTGTTGGCTGTTGGTTCGTTCAAGTGGAGGTGAATAATAGTATTGTTGGCTGTTGGTCCGTTCAAGTGGAGGTGAATAGTAGTATTGTTGGCTGTTGGTCCGTTCAAGTGGAGGTGAATAGTAGTATTGTTGGCTGTTGGTCCGAATCAAGTGAAGATGGCTGTGACATTATTTCACAAACTACACCAGGTGTGAAAAATAATAAAATATTTACATTATCTTCTAAATAAATAAAAGCATTATTAACTGACATAACTTTGATTTTATTTACTTTAACGTGTTCCCACTTGGAAAATATTTCGTTTTGCTATCAATTTGCAAACTAATGAATTGACATCGGATTTTTCAACTCAAAGATATGCGAGATAAAACTTCGGTATATTTTACCATGTTACACTAACACACGTCTTTCTCTCGCAATTAGTATAATAACCAAGTTAAACACGAGTCTTCGAATAACACATTTTTCCTCATATACATAGTATGATCACCTAGTACAAACACAAGTGTTGTAGTAACACAAGTTCTTATGATCATTCAGTTTAAACACACGAGTTATCATAACACATGTTTTTATGGTCATTCAGATTAAACACACGAGTTATAGTAAGACATGATCATTCAGATTAAATACACGAGTTATAGTAACACATGATCATTCAGATTAAACACACGAGTTATCGTAACACATGATCACTGAGTTTAAACACTCGAATTGTCGTAACACATGATCATTGAGTTTAAACAAACGAGTTATCGTAACACATGATCACTGAGTTTAAACACACGAATTGTCGTAACACATGATCATTGAGTTTAAACACACGAGTTATCGTAACACATGATCACTGAGTTTAAACACACGAATTGTCTTAACACATGATCATTGAGTTTAAACACACGAGTTAACGTAATACATTATCATTGCGTTTAAGCACATGAGTTATCGTAATACATGATCATCCAGATTAACGACACGTTCTATAGTAAGTCTTTCTTTCTTTCTTAGATAGTAAGAGCTGTTTTTAAGTTCCTACATATACAGATTAACATATTGAATCGTTCCCTAACCCTTCACCAGCGCGAGGAAATACCAAAATAGTGGTTAAAGTCCTGTCTTCACGAGACATTTCTCCATCTCGTATTTTTACTGTATCCTTTTTACCAGTTTGTAAAAGTGTCATCGTTAAAACACAATAGATGTTTGAATATTTAAATGCACTAAAAGAAGACAGTGAATCAGAATAGTTTTTGTAGAATCGAATCACTACTCCACGCGAAAGGAAGATGTAGCAGTGTAACATGCAGTTAAAGATTGAAAAGGCTAGTCTACGTCTTGTTTCATTGGTCGGTGAAGTGACATAAAATATAAATCACAGTAAAAAAAAAGTCATTTTGTTTTCAACTGTTGACAGTATATATAGTACAATTACAAATACAAACATAATAGAAAACACACGCCCACCCCCTCCCGGTTACACAGTGGTAAACCTAAGAGCTCATAGCTCTAATATTTGAGGTTCGATCCCTGCAGGGAGCACAGTAGATATTTTCAATTGCGCAGCTTTTCGCTTAAACAAAACAAACACGTGGTGTTTGTAATTGCTACAAATAATACATTCAGTGTGTGGATATGATACTCGGCATTGAAAACAAGGATAGTTACATAGAAAAGTTCAAACTATTACCAATCTCTTAACATTCGAAGCTCAAATAAAACAGCAGAAAATATTAACGCGTAGAAAACAGGTGTTTGTGAGTCAGATCCTAGATATTCTGAGACGTTATCCAAACATGGAATATTATACTCCACTTATAAGTTTACTTTCAACTTTACCAGGTGTCCATTCTCAGTTCATTAGGTGTTAAGATACTAGTCTATGAAAAGAATAAATAAACTAAAAGTAAAATTTACAGCATTCATAGTGAAGCAGAAGTTTATCGTGTTTATTAGGCGATAAGCTCACTTGAACGTAATTTTAAGAAATTGGCTCCTTTTTTTCTTAAGTTTTATTTATTTTAGAGCCGTTAGACCAATGTAAAATGTAGAAGAGCTCGTCAATGATTGCCTTAATATATATAATGCAAGTAATGCATTGTGTTCTTTCGAGGCTTAAACTTAGAGAAACATGCAATGTTTGTTTTGTTAAGACTGATCTTTCAAAGTAATGGAGACAGATCATTATCTTAGAAATAGTATAGACACAAAAGATAATGATAAGAAGAAAATATAAAGACGATAAATCTTTATTTCACTTTATGTGATATTGTTTTGAAATCATTTGCGTCGGGGAAAATACAAGTCTGATATTTATTTACTGGCTCTTTCGTGTATTTCTCTAATTAAACACCAGAGTGACAATATATGGCGTTAAACAAAAATAAACTGGGAAAGTTTGCATAGATATTACAATAGATTTCTAAAAATTGTTAACCATCAAAAATAAACAGCAAATGGAAAAATACTATACATTTATTTTGAAATGATAACGTTTAGGACCAAGGCCCTTCCTCGGCTAGTGTTTAAATTGCTATCAAGAAATGAAGTCAAAAGACAATAACAGAATAAAGAAATAGAACATATACATCGCATCATGTGCGCATTAATTCTAGTAAAAATGCTGTTGTGATTGCAAAACAAATAACATTGCTGTAATGTTGTTTTTTCGCTGACGGTTCTTTTAAATTATTTGGTGAAAATAATTCAAAGTCCAGCTTACGTAAACGATAAAAAATTAGTTTTTCTTTCTTAACAAACAGCCTTCACTATACATAGCTTTAGGCCATGTTTACAAGCAACATCAACTGCTAACTGTACTAGACTAGCGTAAAGAATAAACTTATTTGTATCACTTCACGACTGAAACAAGAAAAACAAAAAAAAAGAAACACTGATTAATTCGCTCTTCTAGCTAGAAACGATTTTACTATATTAAAACATCTACTATCTTCAGAACTATCTCGTATTTATAATCTACCCTTGAATGTACTAGAAAGCCTGACGTCAAATCTGCTAGAATTTTCTAGAAGTATCTGATCGTAACGTCACTACGACCTGCAGCTCCCTCTTCCTAACAAACAAAATTACCACAATAAAAATATAGCTTACAGCAATATGACAAAGCACAGGTAAATGGTAGAATCTGTCTTTCTAAATATTTCGTGAAAATAAAGCAAAATAATCATGAAAATTCAGTCGAGTTTGATGGAAATGTTTTAGTTCACCGTTAGAAAGCACGTAGAAACTGGATCACAAAGTGAAGAGCGATACCATGTAATATGATGTACCAACACAGTGATTTTCATACATGTCATGATGTTTTTCAAGTCGTGTAAAGTGTTACAAATCGTGTAAAAAATCATGTACAGGAAAGACGTTTTATGATATCTAAGAGTGGGAATAGACTATAAATGTATAGATTTAAAAGAAATATTGAATAATTTTTAGAAATGTAGGAAAGCTCTGCAGACGAAAATAACCCCACAGAAGACAAACACAGAACACGAAATTATCTTTCTGACGTTGATTTACGCAAAGATATTGGATACAAATAAAGGGTGCGGCCTAAATTCATTTACTCAATTAATAAACCAATCAGGTGTGTAATATAGAAAATGTAGCGTGTTGTCACTATAACCACATGAAGATTAAAAGTGTTTGCATTCCTGATTTACACATAGTAGCACCATCGCTGTCCTCCATCTCCGCCACGCCTTCAGCACAAAACCCTTTAACCTTTGATAAGTCTATGGGTCATTTCAGCAGTCAGAAAACGCACCCATAATAAGGAGATGCGAGAAACAAACAAGAATTTAAAAAAATATAATAAGAGAGAGGTAAGCTGAAAATTATTTCGGTAAACTTATAACCCACCCTGTATATCAAGACACATGCTGTAGGCGGATAAAAAAAAACTGGTACGTGGGTGGTTGTGTCTTGAACAATGGTAGGAGTGAGATAATTCTCACCAAGGGGTCGTTTATTTATTGCATTTTCCTGTTATCTAAACCAGTGGCTTAAAACAATTGCTGTATTTACGAAGTATACTCACGTTCATTGCTCTAAATATGGTAGAATTACTTTAAAAACGGCTTTACGTTGCTTTCAAAAAGTATTGTTGTAAATTTTAACAGACCTTTTAGCGTTCGTTTTTTAGTTGTGTAAAACGGTTATTTAATCGTTTGAAATATATTTATTTCCGTCATTTGGACAAAACAACTGGCACATCTGAAAGACTAGGTACGAAGACAATACTTTTTTAAATAGTTAGGTACAATAATATAGCAGTTGAATAGCCTAAATAATGCATATATGTCTAGACATATTTTTAGAAACTGATTAGTGTACGGGAGGCGATAGTTTTTCGTTACAGAAATTCGATGAGGATTTTATAAATTATCCATCTTGTTTTTCATTTAAGCCTTTTTGAATCTGTAATAAAAAAAAATCCATATTTTATGTTATCAAGTATGAATGGTTGGCATTATGTAAGGTTTTAGGCTACCAATCAAGATTGTTGAGGGAGGTGAATGGGGAGAGCCAAACCTGTAATGAAAAGGCTAGTTTTGTAATTTTGTTTTAGTTAATACTGTGTTTTTCCATCAAAGAATAGTTTTTATGTGAATAAATTAGTTTGTAAACAAACAAGGTAAGTGAAGAAGAAATGAAATAATGTTCCGTGTACACTTAAATAAAGTAAATGTTCAAAGGAGTTTTTTTCGAATATTTATAATATGAAAACAAAAGGTACTTGCTTTAAAATTATAAAATCATAAAGACGTGGAAGTAATTTGGTAGACACTACAAATTACTAACTAAAACTCGTGTGATACAAAATGTTGAAAAGTATTGCAAAACATAAACTCTTGTAATATTAATACAAACCGTTAATATGCCGGAGTTACGGAATAAAAACGCTGGTTTTTGATACTATCAATCAGCAGTTCAATATCAGTTCTTTTAGTTTATAAAATATTTTCAATTATGTTTTTATTAAATATCAGTAGGCCTAAAATTTCTGATGAAAACTGCCCAAGCTGTCGATGTTTTTTTCTCCTCACGTACCTTAACTGATGAGTTATGGTATTTTCCGACAGGCATCTTGGGCAGTGAATCTTGGGAGACAAATGATAGATTTGAAATGCTATTTTTACACACCTATAATTCTGAATCCGAAGTGGGCATATTAAGAAGCATGTGAAAACAAACAAGCTGTAGTTTACGTGATTCTTATCCCAAATTTTAGGTCTATTGATTTCTTATGCTTCGCCATCTTTTGGTAAACACCGAATATTTGGTTTATTAAATATATTTATTAACAGAAAAAAAGGGGCCTCTGTATATATATTAGATTCTTGTTACCATTTACGAACCATAATATGTAGAATAAGTTAAAATAATTTTGACTTTTATTTAGATTTTTCTGCTAATAAGTCACACCTTACTCTTTTGTAAGGTGCTTATATTATCAGTTATGTGTTGACAAAAATATTCGCTACTAAACTGATGAAGAGTGTTTTTATGGAGAATTTGGGCGAAGACATTTCTCTGCAATTACTAGAATCTTTGTGAAGTTGTCTCTCACCTTAGTTCTCCAGCGATTATCAATAACTACACACCAAAGCAAGAGAATTACATAGATAGGAACTGAAAAGTAACAGGAGAAATAATGAAGCTAATTTTATGTAGCAAACTAACTAGGAGCGTGTAACGTCGAAAACAATTTACAATAAAAATAAAGATTACTAGTTATTAGAATGCACAGATTCATTATTTGGGTGAAATTGTCTGTACAAAAAAGAAACTTCAGGAGTTCATTAACTGTATTTTGGTTGTTAACCAGATCTTTCAAGCTCAGCTCAATTAATAACGTTAGAAACTTGATGATGCAAAAACGACCCAAAAGCACGACCACTCTTTTAGTGCTCTAACGTCCTTACGTCTTTTTTTTTCTTCATTTTATGATAATTTTGTGGCCCCCTTCACTTACTTTAAAACAATGTATGAGATCCTGAGTGTTGAGTAGTGTATCTTTCTTTATGTTTGAATGTATTTACACTTCTTACAATGTGTAGCTACGAAATTATAGTTATGGCTAGCTTGTATTATTGAATAAACTTTAAATATTCGAAAAAATTAGGTAGGACTCATCAGTAGTTAAGCCTAACACGTAATAATGTAACCTATAAATCTTTGAAATACATTAACTTCTCTTTTAGCTCGTCCTTTGATCTTGTAAGGGTACGTTTTAAGAAACAGTAACAACTATTATATTCGTTTCACTAATACTATTAACTTTTACGTCATAATGATAGATAATATGTTTTAATTTTTTACAGAAGATTGGTTACCATGGCATAGAAGCTGTATACCCTTACAAAGATGCCAAGTCAGACCATAACACCATTAATGGTAACTTACATAGCTACACGTGGTACCATGGGCCTATTTCGCGCCAAAAGGCAGACCAACTAATCGTTAAAAATGGCGATTTTCTTATTCGAGATTGTAACTCTCGAGCTGGAAGCTACGTCTTAACAAGTCGGTGGAATGATCAGCCACTGCATTTTGTAATCGACAAGGTTGGTATGCAGATTTCCAAGTGTGCTTTTTTGATGTTTAAATGTTAGATGCATAGTTAGATAGATGATGATTACGGAGTAAAACATTTATTAAATATACAAACATGTATACTTACAGTTGCAATTTTGAAATAATCTCGTAAATATCCCTACACAACTTAAAATAAATATCATGAAGATGAAAATATATATTAGTAATTTAAACCTCACTAATCTGGTAATAAACCTTACGTAATATGGTAACCATGAAACACGAAGATAACTGCATCAGAAAAGTTAAAAAGGAATTATTGAGGAAATCCAAATAGATCTTGATGCAGGCGGAGGAAGCATGGGCTATCTGGTAAGGTTAAAGCTCATGCGAGATCTAAATATGGTATTTATATAGGGATCAGGGGTATTACCCCCAGAAAATATATTAGGGCTTCAAATGGAACAATTTCTGAAATGTACATGGTGAACCGTGGACAGTAGTGTGTGTCACCCTTAAAGTTGTTAACAGGTATTAACTTGTCCTTACCAGGCATTGACTTAGAGAAGTTGGAGCACCCGTTCGTCACCCGAGCAGTGGAGATACATGATTTTACTTACAACCAAAAACGATCTAAAACTTCTTGCTTTTTTATTAAGATCAGAAATCAAAGTTACGATTGCCTATTTTATGCACGAGTTATGATGTTGGAGTTGGCACGACCGGTTCGAATCCCTACGATACCACAAAATAGGCTTTGTACGAGTGACAGTCAATCCATCAGCGTGAGTTGTAGGGCACTGTAGGGTCCTTCTGGTCAGTAGTTAAAAATTAGGGACGGCGACAGATAGCTTTACTAATTTTTCCGTGAACACAAAAGTGTAGCTGTAGATCGCTTGTTTGTGTTATCATGAAATGGTTAGATGTAGAAATGTTTTTTTCTTACTTTATTAGTCTTATCAGTTCAAAATGTGATTATTATGATACGTTTTGTGGATATTAAATCAGACTACATTTACAGGTCGAACATTTCCACAAGCTTTCATACAGATTTGCTGATGCAAACTATGACTCCATCTACGAGTTAGTAAGGAACATGATGGAGACTAAGATGTATCTTTCTTCGGCTTCTGAAGCAGTACTTACTCACCCAGTGACGCGAACGTCGTGCCAAAATTCTGAAGGAAATTTAATTAATTTCTCAAAGGAGAACGAAAGTTCTGACGAAGCCCCTTGCTTACCTCCAAAGAAAACTCCTCTATATATGCATGGAACTGCTTCTGTTGATCCTCGTTGCTTGGCTACCATCAGTTCTAATGAAGGATCAACCTCCACAGCATTTGTCAAACAAACCCAGAGCCTACACAGTGAAGATGCTGAAAGAATTCGTCATGATTCTACAAATGAATGGACTAAATATAGCCCTAAAAGCAGTCACTTACTTATTGAAACTGAGGACCTTGAGAGCTCCTCTAAAATCTCTCCAACTAAATTTTCTATCCCAAGCCCAGATTCTGAGCTAGTCAATAGTGACCATCCTCCTCCAAAACCTAGTCGCATTCCATCCATTAAGTATGCTCAAAATCCAAGAAACTTGTCATCCAAAATGTCATATGATTCTTTTGGGAAAGATATTACAATGACAGAAAAAAGATTTCAAACTTTGCCTCCTAAATCCACAACTCAGTGTAAGTCAATGAACAATGTAACAAGTGTACTAAAGCATAATGTAAAACCAGAAACTATGACTTCACATTTATTTCAGCAGACTGGAAAAGATATCCCCTCTGCAAAACTGACTAACAGTGATGAAGGTTACGTAAGAAAATTTTCCGTGCCTGATAAAAATCCCACTTCGGTATTCTGCCTCTCAACTTTCTCTACTGTTCTCTTGCTTCCTGAAAGTAAACCATTTGACAATTCGACTAATGTAAAAGTTTCAACCTTATTGAAGAACAATGAAGCTAAGACATTAGCCATTCATCTAACCAAAAATGATTTTGATATATTTAAGTACACTGATAATTACGATCTAGGACTAGGGGTCAGAAATGGCTTGGAACTGTTAACCTTACCCCAAGGGGAACAACTGCGGATAGACCTCATAGAAAGGTAAGTATCTGAAGATTTTCTAAGCTAAAGAAATAACTTAGAAATGATGATCTAACTGATCATACAGTCACGTGATGATAATGTATATAAATATATATATATAAAAACTAATAAAGAACGTTAACATTTAACGTAAATAAGGAAGTCAAATTAAACATTTTCAGAAATATATATATATATGTTGTTGCTAAACAGGTCCGAATGCTTAAAATATCTAGTAGCAGCAACTATCTTGACCACGGAGGGTCCCCTGGATAGAGCTGAGCTGGTCAGTAAATGGATCGGAGTGGCGGTTGAATGTAAGACCTCCTTAGGAAATCTATATGGCTTTTCAGGAATTATGAAAGGTCTTTCGATGCCTCAGGTACGTTTTGTTTCGTATGCTATCTAATTATTTAATGTTGAGCATTATTTACTTGTTATTTAAACTCACTGTTAGAGAATTACTCCAGCTAATGTTCTGGTAAGTACACTCGACCATGGAAATTCCACCGATCAGGAAGAGGTCACACAAAAAGTTGACCTCTCAACTAATATAATAAAGGAACTATAACTGAAGCAAGTGTTACATTCACTTTTTCCAGTAATATATATATGTCAGTTCCTATTTGAAAATAGCCTGTCGTTAGCAAAGTCAATTTCCTACTGACCTCTGTAACACATTTCACAACTGGTTTTCCCTTATGTTATTGACTTATATTAAGCCCTGCGGTTAATATACGTTACTAGATACGGTTCACAGATTAAACATAGTTTATCTGGTGGTCTTAATTCCTAACTATAAAATTGTCATTTCCAAACATCTATATAAATGTGAAAATGTAAACACTGTAAACTCAATAACAGCTGCTAGAGTTTGAAAACTAATAAATCATTTTTTGCTTCTTTAAAAATATGTAGAACTAACAACCTGTCACAGTTAATTGTACTGGAAAACAATAGTTCAAGTTCACAAGAAAGAAAAATTAACATATTAGTGCTGCCATCTAGTGATTTAAATAATTGAGAGTTCCTTTTGCAATAATGTGTACACTAAAATCATCCATAAAACACTGTTAGCTTTCTAAGCTGGCGCCATCTCTTTTGACTTTTGTTAGTTATTAGTAGCTCTGAATAAACATATATTTAAGTATATTTAATTTTTTTTTCAGGTTTCCCGACTTCAAAACACGTGGTTAGTAGTACGTCAAAATTTCACTGAGAATGCTTTCATTTATGAAAGCAAAATGCGTCCATTTTTGAAATCTCTTGAGATAAATCCCGAAACCGAAGTCTTAAACTCGTGTATACCTTATATCATATGCCTGATCTCTGTTCTACAGCGCCATCTAAAGGTAAGTAAGCTAACGGAGAAACCTCCAGAAATAGAAACAAACTGCAAGGACGCACAACCAGTGAATAGTGCGATGTTGCCATGGGAATATACAACTGCAGACTATGGTCTTCAGATGCTGATGAATCATCTAGAGTTGGGCAGGACGGTTGTGAGGGAAATCGATACATATCAGAAGAAGTGTAAAACATACATGCATAACATAAAATATGATGACCAATTGCTGGATTTGTTTAGAACAGAGTTTCATATGAAGTTTCTCTGGGGCACTAAAGGGGCGAAAGCCTTTAGTGATGATAGGTACTCAAAACTCGAACAGGTTCTGAACTTGCTTTCCCAGAATCGAGAAACTAGTTAAACACACTGAACATGTGTTTGGTCAACATCACTGTAAACCTGAAAGTCAAGCTGGAACTGGTGCATAATTATACCGTGTTTGATACGACGGTCTGAATGCAGGCCTAGCAAGCAGCTGGAGGATTTAACAATTGCTCTAAAAACCCAAGCATAGCCTCGAAACAGATTGGCCAGCTAGAGTAAAATACAGGCTGCAGAGATGACAGCCTTAAGATTCGTATATGGAGTTACGTATAGAGATAGAATTAAAATTAATAATATAAAGAACAGTTTTGAAGTGGACTCATTGCTGGAACTTATAGAAAGCAGCCAGTTGAAATACCATGAGCATTCCAAGTGAATGAATGAATAGATGTACCCAAGAAACATATGGATTGGATACCAATCGGAAGAAGGCCATAAGAAGACCAATGATCGAATGGAGACAAAATATTGAACAAGCAATTGGAAATAGATGAACAATACAGGAGGAGGTTCATGAACGAGAATTATATCTGCACAAGAAAGTGTGGCGAAGTTTTGTTGGGTCATGTAGCTGACAGGCTTTAAGCTTAAGGGGAGGATGAGGAAGAAGATACAGTGGTCTTAATAAGTTGTACAAAGGCGGAGTTATTACTGTTATTGTACATATTACCTCTCCTTTTCCCAGTAAATTAATTCATTGTATTGCAGTCATCAAGGTTAAATAATAGATTAAAAGAAATCTGTAAAAATGAAAATTTGTCAGAACATTATGGCGACCTTTTTCTTCATATGTTCTTGAAAATCTATTTTGAAAGTTCTCTGGATCGTTTGATAAAGATGACAATTAAGAACCAGTTTGACTCCTTTTCTAATGTAATCAGTAAATCAATTTTTCTTAAACTTTGTGATGCATTTTGCTATGAAAGGGAGTTGACTTCCATTACAGTCTTTTCTAGAATTATAATAATAGATGACTTTTCGGCAAATAATCGTTATTTTACGAGTCTTTGTATCAATGTCACTGTTAAAGATATGCAATCAACATTACATTCTATTATTTATTCATTTGATGGCGTGATTACGTATACGTGAATATTTTGGTCACTTTGGGCTCTAGGAGTTTCTAGTCACAATAATGAGATTTTTTCGTAGAATGTAACTTTTAATGTGAACTAAAATAAACAAAAAATCAGTTTTCGGTTTGATTACTAGTTGACATACAGAATATTTTTCTGTAGCTCCCTCTAGAGTAGAAACTTGTCTTTAACTGAATTACTAATACGTTGTGTGTGTGTGGGAACTTTCCAGCTTACATAAATATAAGAAGTATAACAGTATTTAAGTCTAAACCAAACATTCATTTTATTTACCGTTTACTTAATTAAATTGTGTTTTGTCTCAAATATCTATGGAAAATTGGGTTAAAAATGCATTTTTTAGTGTATTTATGGCAGTACATACCTGCAGTGCAACAATGTATCACTCTTCACACAAAAAACATAGTTCTTTCTAATAATTAATGTATCATTCTTGTTTCTCAGAATAGGAAGAAAAGCTTTACTAGTAAAGTGCCAATAGTTAGCAGTTGTTACAATTTTTAATCTTTAGACGTACTTCCACACGGTCCCCGAAAGTGTTCTGTTTCAAGAGTAAATAAAACTAAAATTAAGAGTAACAAATATTTTTATTTCTTGCTTTTGGAGTTCATATGTCATGCTGTGTTGTATCGTACAGAATGTATAATTCTTTCCATGATTCATGGCATGCGCACGTTTTACTGCAGTACAAATTGCAACGTTAAGTGCCCCTTATGTGACGTCATTTTTGTGTCTACTGACTGACTGACAGACAGACAACACCCTACTGTATACTAGTGCGAGTGGTTAAAACAGGTGACATAAAAGCTCATGCCAGAACTGATTATTATGGCAATATTTCTTAATGTTATTAATTATTGTGCGCACAACGTAATTTTGTTGTAATATCTATTTCTGAGCTGCTGTTCTGACCTTTCATAAGTACATTACAATAACCAGATTAAAAATTCACCAGAGTTCGTTTTTATTGGGTGTTGTTGTTTAATACGATGCCACATGATGGATTATCTGCGCTTTGTCCAAGGCAAGAAATCAAACCACGGATTTGAATGTTGTAAGTCCTTATACTTAGCGCTGACCCACCGCGGAACCGTTCCTGTTGGGATTTTTGCCGATCATTACAGGAACATTTGAATGGCTTCTTACTTTGGTAATGTGACAACTGTCTCATCATGACTGAATTAAAACCAAAACTTAGTCCTTCCTTCTACCAATAAAAGTACAATTGTTACACTTGGAGATATAGCTGCTGCAGATGTTAACATTTATACCAAACATTAGAGATGAGTTCTTCCTTCATCCACTCTGATAGAAAACTTCTGTAATGCGATTTATTCTCAATATCAGCCACTTAGTGGTGCTTTTTGTCCTGTATTCAGTTTAAATTGCAATACATGTTTTATTGTTTTGTATTAATATCAATGTAAATAATAAAGCCAGTTTTAAACCCATTATTATACTAGTAACACTGAAATATTATTAGGGAGAAGGAGTAATGACGCGAACAGATCTGGACAGTTTGATTTGGCAAAACATGTCTTGGCACTTTTCATTCTTTTTCAGTTGAACAGTCTGGTCTGCTCCAACATGGCGGCAACCCGCGGGAAGTGCAGATTCTCCGTATTCTTATGTTAGAAACAAATGACAAACTATATTTGTAACACTAGCAATTACAATAAATTAAATCTAGAATAAAGATGTATCTAATATCTGGATGGAAGTAAGAAGGATTATTATCATTTAATTTGTAACCACGTTTTCACATTGGTCTGACCAATACATATACTGTATGAAGCTTTCTGATTCAAAAAATACAACCAACAGCGTCCCTCAAATCACTTTCAGCTAGGTCAGAAATTAATTAAACCGATTTCAAGAAAAGGTCATTTCTGTTCCACAACGTCCGAGTCTGTTGACCTCACGATGTCAAGCCTCTAGTGAAGTACATTTAAGTTCTGCTGTACGTTTTGTTGCCTTAAGATCAAGTATTTAATCTGTTGGTTTTGTCCTCTGGTGCATAACGCATGAGGATAATGTTATTCAAGCTCTTCTTATGATGTAAATATTGTAAATAAGTACGCTGGACAATATGTATCAAGTGTCTTTATTAGTCTTTGTTAAAATTTTCGTCCTTACATTTTTATCAGAAATTCTGCTCTTCAAAAGATCTTGATCACGCTTTGTTACTTAAATCATTATCTAATAATTATTATAGAAAATCAACAGAATATTCATTGATTCGTTAGTACATGTAAACCTAATAAAGTAAAATATATATCGCTATTTCTCTTGTGTTTAATATAAATATTGAACATCTATGTTTCCATAAAAAAAAAAAACAACGAGCCTTTAGAGAACGTAAGCTGGTGATGATTATGTAACGAATAGTGAAGATTATAAAAAAGCGTTGGTCAGAAAGTTTCAGGTTCTGCTTGGGATTGACAGATGCAGATTTGAAATGAACTTCAGAGTATAACTACGCAGAGCTCTCGAACATTTCAACAAAAAACGTTATTTCCGAGACATTCTCACCAAGCAAGTTTATGTGTGCATAAGTTTAACTTCTAAATTTCATCGTTGATAGTTAATTGTTGATGATAAAAAAAAACTTTTTAATGTGCAGTGTGATCTAAATAAGTTTCCCAACCCTGACGGTACCGCCTTCTAGTGGACTGTTTTTTAAATTCAGGGGACAGTAAACTTCGAGAAGGCGGCAGGGAACGGACAGAAAGGTTTTGAGGGTGTCAAAGTTATATTTGTTAAAATTAAACCATAAGAACTGACTATTATTGCCTTAAAATTAAAAGGGGCATGAGCGTTCATTGTCTGCTGAAGGGAGCGCTAAAGCACCGATAGCCCTTGTGTAGCTTTTTGCATAATTAAAAACAAACAAACAAACAAGGGAGCGCTAAAGCGATAAAGGTTGGGAAACGCTGAGTTAAATGAACTAGAGAACATTCATCACATATTAAATTACATAAAAAATAATACCAAGCAATTAACTCTGCGAAATTTTGTCTATGTTTGCCTTTTGCCCACCACTAGCATCCAACCTCAATTATTATTGTCATAGGCCCCAAACTTGCCGCCGAGCCACAGGGGTAAAGCAACGCGAATAAATTTTAAATTAAAAAAAGTTTACAAAAGAGATTGTATATTGCTTTCATTTGAAATATATTTATATTATAGTTTTTAAAGCAACTAACAGAGGACGATGGATACTAATTGTTTTGAGAAATGTTTTTAAAACTTTTGAGAAATAAATGTCACATAGATCTGTGAATTGGGGTGCATTTCGGGAAACAATTATGGCAGCACTCGGTATACCTGGAGGTAAGTGTGCAATTACGCACACGCAATAAGTAATTTATATTCTTTATATATAAAAGGTATTCTATCTGGCCGCATGTAACAAAAAAAAGACAAAAAGTGTTTAGCAATTTCTGTTGATTGCGCCTGATTGTCTTCAATTACGTGATTAAACTTTTACATTAGAAGTTTTGAAATACTGTGCCTAGTAGATTACTTAGGTTACATACATCTAATTCTAGTGCACTTAAAAACTTGTTTACTTGAAAGAATGGGCTGGAAGGTTGTCAACGATAGAATATCGCATTAAAATAATGGAAAAGTTAAATTTGGAATTTAGCAGTTATTGAAATTGCGATCCATAATTAAAAACGACGTTGTAAACAGATTTCAATTTTGTGCTCACTTCAATTGGTTACTACCCACGACAGAAATTAAACAGCACTTCAAACCTGCCTGGAGTAACTGTCTATACATTCGCTTGCTTCAAAATTATCAAGTTTTATATATATGACATTTTAAGCTAAAGTAAGCTTCCGTGCTCTAGGTGTGGGTAAGGAGTTGTGACGTAAGCTGAAGATCTCGGATACCGAATATTCTGTGATGAATAACGATTTTTCACGACAGACTGAACTGTAATGTTGCTGTTGTTTCATGATAGCGCATTCCACATCTATTATAATAATACTCAGTTTTGTCTCACCTGAACACGCGCGCACACCTTACTATCAAAATGTGCATGCGCGCGTACCTCTTTTTCAATTTCTGGTTTCATTGGAAATATGGATCGAATTTTTTTTAAGGAGATAAAAGAGCAAATCATGAACTTGGTATCACAAAAAGCTACACACATAATACGACATCAACACCACATGTATGACACACATAATATGACATCATCACCACGTGTATAAAACACATAATACGACATAAACACGACATTTATGACACACGGCATCAACACCACATGTATGACACACGTAATATGACATCAACACATATACGACACACGTAATACGACATCAACACCACATGTATGACACAAATACAACATCAACACATGTATGACACATCCAAATCGCCATCATCACCACGTGTATAAAACACATAATACGACATAAACACATGTATGACACATCCAAATCGCCATCAACACCACATATATAACACACATAATACGACATCAACACGACATTTATGACACACGTAATATGACATCAACACATGTATGACACACACAATACAGCATCAACACCACATGTATGACACACGTAATATGACATCATTACCACGTGTATAAAACACATAATACGACATCAACACATTTATGACACTCAGCATCAACACCACATGCATAACGCAGATAATTCGTTATCAACACGTCATGTATGACACACATAATACGGCATAAAAACTTCATGTGTGAAAACAGCGATTATATGGAACTCAAACACAGAAATTCATACTGAATAAAATCATTCAGAAAGAAGACGAGTAACTTAATTGGAAAATGCTAATATTGTTGACTGGTTTACACATCAAAGTGCTAATTATCAATTTCCATCAGTAAAATTATTCTTTGATCAGGCTGGCCAAAAAATTAATTTTGTTTCCATATTCTCCTTAGTTACATATACTTGTACACAACATATGTGTAAATAAAACTAGTTGTTGGTATTATATTATCCAATTGGCAGACTTCGTGCAGACTTTTTGATAACACAGAAAGGTTTGTTATCTTTCATATAAATACATGCATGTCTTAAACAAACCTCTTAAATGAACTTA